GGTATGAGCCCCCCCCCCCCCTTAATTTACGGAGGCCAGGTGTCCGGAGAACAAAAAACCTGTCTATATTTCAGTATTGATTTGCTGATGAATCCCACCCCCCCCCGCAAAAAATCCTGGATACGCCCCTGTTCCCCCATAAAAAAGCAATCAAATGTTGATACAGCAATAAAGCATGAATTAACCAGCATGTTCTTCCACACGTAAAAAAAAAAGAAATTACTGAAATTAATCCTTGCTGTCAGAAGTTATGCATGCTTTGCTAAAATTACCCATTGTGTCAGCTGTCCATGGAATGCTAATTGCTTTGAAACTAGACTTGACTCAAGTCGGAATTGCTTTCAGTCGGTATCTTAAAAAAAAATCACAAAACTCACTTGGTTTTACGTCTTTCCAGATGCACGACAAGGTACACTTTAGCACGCATTCCACTTCAGTGCCGTATAACAATGCGCACACACTGTATGTACATTGTACAACACGCGTATTATACGTACATGTGTGTGCATGTATTGCAGAGCATGTGTGCATACAATGTGGTGCAAAAGTTAGCTGCTGCATCACATAAAAATAACATGTACATGTACATGTACGTTTTTAACATGTAGGTCTGGATTTGACGCATGAGGGCGCATTATGATACGGCGTGTACAGTGTACGTATGCGCTTTGGCACATTTAGATACAGACCGAGCGCAACCCAGACTTGGCCAAGTCTACTTTGAAATCAGAGATTACGCACAGACATTCAAATGCAAATGAGAGTTTAATAATTTGAATCAAGACTGAAACGCTATTTCTCTGTCAGATTTTGTGTTTTGTATGATATAAGAAACAAATCAAGTGGTTTTTCCGAAATCGTGATGATGATTTTCTTTCTGTTTTCCTTCTCAAGTTTTCGTTCATTCACGGTGGTAGGAAAACCCCATAGTATTTAATTACAAGGTATTCACCAATGCGTATCGGGTAATGACCTGTGTTAGCAGCTGAATGTTGTGGTATTGCTACTTAAATAAAGATAACTTGTGATTACAGTATACGCAAATTACGTGAAATGTTCACAGTTACTAGTCAAGAATTGTACTTCAGTAACTTTCTTTTTGACTCACCCCATACAGCATAAACTAAACCCTCTGTACAACATTGAGTTATCGGGAAGTGAATACTGGCATTGATGGCTTTATTGTGCCCGCTCCTTTTTATCCATCGAAGGTTGATGCCGTATTCAGCAACACCCATTTCTCCAATCTTGGGTCAGACCTGGATGTTGCGGCCGGTGACCCCATCACGACCTGCATGCAAGATGGCGCAGGCGTGATGGTCCGTAAGGACAGCCGCCTTCCTGATTGGTGGAACCCGGCCTTTGAACAACTGAAACAGTCGTCGGAGTACAGGAGAATCTGTGATGAGGTCACAACCAATCACGGTAAGTTCATTCAATCATCACTGGAATGTTGATACATGTAGATGAAGGTGTGATAGCGCACACCAGTCCTTTCCGATTTTACCGGTTTTATCACCGGATCAACCCATCACAGGTACGGTGATTTTTTTCACCGTTGCGTTTATTTAGACCGCAACGTTACCCGCAAACATGCCTGATTCCGTTCTATAATCGGTCACATGATGATCAGTCACATGATGACCAGTCACATGATGACATGTGACATTTGAATCATGTGACTTTCTTCGTGAATCTGATTTGTTAACATAAATATCGCGTCCGGTGAAATCGGAGTGCTGCCCGCACACCTTCCCAGTGACATCGGATCCGGTGAAATCCGATGCGAAAAAAAAATCAAACATGTTTGATTTCATCCGATCGCCCGGTGTACGGTCAGATCGGTCGGAATTTTCAGCGCACACCTATGTACGACGATGGCCCGATGATCCGGTGAACCGGTCAAATCGGAAAGTTGTGAGTCGGGCTCAAGGCAAAATCCCATGCCTCTGAAAGTGAATGACGTTTTCCACGAAAAAGTAACACTTTTGCATACTAAAGAACTAACGGGACATTTTTTCTTCATTGCATTTCACGTAAATAAAGTTAGCCAGATGAAATACTGAAATAATTGTATGGACTTGCTTAGCAGATTAAAACATACAGCAATATTTCAAGTGGTAAGCAAAAATCAGCAGAGAGAGGGTAATGAGGCATCCCATGGCATTTTGTCAGGCAAATCTTTCTATTCGAAACAGTATTTTCTGTTGGACCAATCAGAATTTCAGAAACAAAGAATCTGCTAGAGTCGATCATGTCAGACTCTCTCGCTGTTACGATTTTCATATTTCATGTCAGTGTAGCCAGTAAGAAGCTTACACCTTTTTATTTCTTTATATCAAGGATGACTGTAAGTGCACTCCTGACATATGAGGTATAAAGCAAATTAGTACAGGGTGCGTAAAAAAATAAACGAAACCCAAATGTCGGGACCATTGTTTTAGTGAAGATCTGCATGTAGCACTTTCAAAATCTAGGATATGAAAGCCCAATTCCTAAGCTTTCTTTTTAAGAATCTTTCCAATCACTTATGTACTTTTCAAGTTACGGAGTTTTAAACACAACCACCGTTTTAAAGTTCTGTCCAAGGATCACAAAAAAGGTGTGTATTCCTTCGGCCAAACGAAAACAATTCACACACATCCTTAATATGTGATTTGTTTTCGTTTGCTGAAAGAACACTGAACTTTTTTGTGATCCGTGGACAGAACCTTAAAACGGCGGTTGTGTTTAAAACTCCGTAACTTGAAAAGTACCTGAGTGATTTGAATGATTCTTGTACTAAAAGAAAGGTTATGAATTGGGCTTTCCCATCCTTGATTTTGAAAGTGCTACATGCGGAACTTCACTAAAAAAATAGTCCTGACAATTGGGTTTCGGTTTTTTTTACTCACCCTATATAATGTATGGTGCCAATTTACAACCCTGTGATTTAGAGGTGAGTGAATAATCAGTACCGGACAGAATGTGGTCATATGAAACTGTTTCTTCTTTTTCTTTTCATGCAGGAAACTCGGATGTAGGGGTAGACTGTGTCAACTGATTCTACAGGTGACGTTGACTCCATAACTGGAATCATGGATTCACATTGAACCAGCTGGTTGATTGTTACGTAGTATTGTTTCAAATCCAAGGGAAAGCGCGCTCTCTGTAATTAGCAATTTAAGTTTTCGTTAAATAAAGCGAATTTCAAGTGGTTGTATTTCAAGTGGTTGTATTAATTGTATTATTCTACAGGTGACGTTGACTCCATAACTGGAATCATGGATTCACTTTGAACCAGCTGGTTGATTGTTACGTAGTATTGTTTCAAATCCAAGGGAAAGCGCGCTCTCTGTAATTAGCAATTTAAGTTTTCGTTAAATAAAGGGAATTTCAAGTGGTTGTATTTATTAAGTATTCGAACACTTAGTTAGGTACCAAGTGTAGTTACAGGGACTGAAGTTTAATTTGTTTATATGGGAAAACGACCCTACACACTGCCTATATAGTCTTTAAACTTTGTTTTGCTTTTAATCTAATATACCTGTTGGGTTATAATCTCTTCCAATTGAATGGCTTGGTTATTTTAAATATAAAATATCTATATTCTGAATCAAGTTAGGTTTTGCCCTTCATCGACGTATACACACTGTATGCTCTATAACTGATCCCGCGAGCGCGAGTGGAACATGGAATATTATCTTCAAGTAAACTTGAATCCTCCATCCTGATTGGTCGATCCATGGCAACAAGCCGTGCTACATATAACCATGTACCATGTACCATGTACATGGTTATATGTAGCACGGCTTGTTGCCATGGATCGACCAATCAGAATCGAGGATTCAAGTTTACTTGAAGGTAAAGTGTGTTACCTCCCGAGTGACAGTTGGGAAAAAAATCACTCGGGTGGGACTCAAACCCACGACCTCCTGCATTCTTGTGCAGATGTCTTACCACTCGACCACCGAGCTAACGGGATCGGTTGGCTGGTTTGAATCTTATGTACGTAGCAGCGGTTACCGCATGAACTATTCATCAGATGGATTTTTTTTTGCGTCGGGGTGATGTAAATCAAATTAGGTTTTGCCCTACACCGACGTATAAACACTGTATACTCAGTGTGTTACCTCCCGAGTGAAAGTTGTGGGGGGGGGGGGAATCACTCGGGTGGGACTCGAACCCACGACCTCCTGCATTCTAGTGCAGATGTCTTACCACTCGACCACCGAGCTAACGGGATCGCCTTCTGCTTTCTTTGTTGTAATGCTGTGCTTTACTTTGTGTTGCTTTGGTAAATTACAGGTACTCATTTTTATCAGTACTCCAGAATTATACAAGGGTTCATTATCTTGTGAAGTATGTTGTGTCATGTTGAGCTTCATTCTGTGCTCTTTTGTTTCGTGTCAACCTCGCCCAGGCTTCCGCGATGACACCTAACCGATTAGTGGAAATAAAACAGGATCACAGTGGTCTTGTTTTGTAGATTTTACAAAAGAAACGCGAAGGAACATATTCATGAACCGTATTTCTTCATAATTTTATATATCGCAAATCGAAAGCCTATATCCACACTTGGCCCTTTTAGACTTGGCCAACCGATGGAAATTCTTGTGGTAGTAAACTCCAGAAATTTGATTTCAGGGTAGATGTCTAGGGGCCCAAGAAGGAACATGCTAAATTATTGTACCATATTCTCATGTCTTAAAATCTCGTGCCAAAGAGATAGCCTCTGGATTATCTCATAAAAATGAGATACTATCGTGTGCAAACGAGATAACTTATTCGCATGTCACTTCTTGGGATCCGAACATTCTGAAGAAGAAAAAACAGTGAAAGTTGGTAAACTTTGTGCGAACAACCCCAGTCCCAGTTGCAGATTGTTCAAAACAAGTGACCTTAAGAAAGTTCGACGATATTATTTTTCCCCTGGAAAAAGGCCCCTTTGTACTATTGTGTAGTATGTATGAAGGTACGTTTCTATTCATCCTATTCATATGCAAATTTAAGTGGCCTCGGATTCCTCCACTACATTTCACCAACAGGCTCTCTTCATAGCGTCGCCGCACCGTGCACAAACAACACAGAAGTTTTTGGCTTCCCAAAGTTTATCAACAACAGGTAAGTTTTATCGAGATGTTTGTCTTACAGACGAAAAGAAATTAGTACGATTGATTGGAACAAGGTTTTTGGGTGAAACTTTGGGGTGATGACAAATTGGCATGTGGAAAGAACGCTATATTTTGATGAGTTGGATATATACGCGGATGGCCTACTTTGACAGGGCGTTTTAATTTGTAGCTTCTAGATCCGTCTTTGTGCAATACAATTTCAAACTTGCAATGAATTCTTAATACAACACTTGTGCAAGATGCTATGAGGTCTATTTTTTTTTTGCGAGTTCTGCTTAAGGCCCCATTTGCTTTTTTTTATGTAACTTGGATCAAGTTAGCGGTCTGATCTCGCGGGAGCTTGTAACTATGTACTTGTTAGGTCACAGAAAGGGCACCTCTACATGTAACCGTAATTAGTTGTGACTTTGTACGCTAGTGAATCTGTGCTACGGTAGTTAATTGTAACCCAGGGATTCAGAGGGTGACCTATATAACAATTAACGATTACACATTATTAGTATTATGACCATTTTCGCTAGGCAGATGTGATTTTAAGTTATACCTAACCCATGCATATATAGGCCTGACCATTATCGTAATCTAAAGAGTAGATTCAAGACTCGATAGCCAAAATTCCAGTTTGAAGTTGCGTTAAGTTTTATGATTGACAAAATGGTTGACTTTGCGAAAGTGTCAGACTTCTGACCACCGTACTACATGTAACATCGCATCCCTGTTTGTATATAGTTACATGGAACCTGGGCCGAATCTCATGCCTCCGCTAACTGATCATCACCATTCTGTGCTAACGGCGCAAGTAGAAATAAAAACAATCTGCGCTGACCCTGTAAGCACAGAATCCTTAGTTACGGGATGTACGCATGGGCTTAAGCCAAAATGCCTCTCTTACCTGTAAAATACGCTTACCGTATAAAGCACGGGATTTTTCTGCCACAATAAGTAGGGATTTTCTTCGCTAACGGTAAGCAGAGTTATAAAATTGGGCCATTCATTTCATATTTTCCATAGGCAATGGGCAATGATCTACACTGGGATAAAGGAAGACGATCCGAATAGAAATAGATGACAGTGTAAGCTAGGATAGTGTCGTGTTTGTGTTAAATTGTGTGGGTCTATACCGATTTACAAATGCGCGCAGTTTAAAACAATTCCTCTTTGTCACCGATCAACCTCCCAAGTTAAACCAGAATTTAGAGGACAAATATTGAAAACATTGTCTATGGAATCCACTCCTCGTCGACCTGATATCAAGAATAAAAAAAGCACAATAAACTCTGGTAAAAAATGTGACCAATGTACCTTTTAGTTATCATTTCAATAAGTTTGTATTTTTACACCGAAGTTGGGTGTTAGAGCTTCCACATCTCCTGTAAGCACTGTGATTACACCCATACGTCTCTGTGTTAGGCCGTACTATTTTGGTTGGATTTGAATCAGGTAGACTAAACTAGATTATTGACCAAAATTTGGCCCCAGAAACTCGTTCTCTTTTAACCATATCCTTAAGTTGGATGGCGTTCACCGTCTCTATAGAGTTGTCAATATTTTGTTCACTGTTACATGCGCAATAGCGATACGTGTGTTTTTCCATCAGTCGCCTGCATTTCACGCAAGACTGACTACCCCAAATGTCAACGTGTATTGCTCTCTAATTCAAATGGCCTCTATACTAGGTTTACTTTTGTAAGGGACAGTCTCAAGGACGGGACAGAAAAGTTCGATATTTGCATTTCGTCGTTGTACCCTCAGACAGGGGCCAGTAGGCCCAGGCCTATTGTGTTCCCTGGCCTATACAACCATTGTGACATATAGAATTTGCTTGGTTTGAATGTCAATCATGGCTTAGCCCAACCCCCGAGCGGCCCTGTGATGAACCGACGTGGAATCAGCTTAAATTTGCCTTCATGGGCAATTTTACATAATACGAAACATGACATAATAGAGAAATCTCAGCAGGCCGCGTTGGATGACTTTCTCATTGTTTGAATCATGGGCCTTATTCACGAAGTAGCCATTTCGATCGTGTTCCCTGAATTTTGTATGATACACGTACACGCGATTTTGTCGCGCAATAATGTCGCGCGCACATTAATCAATGAGTTTTTAAAATTAAATTTGTTCACAAACGCGCGCACGTGTGACATTGAGTTTGGTGGGATGGTGCCAGACTATTTATGCATTCCAAGCGTCACTTTTTTTAAAATTAAAATGTGGCTTAATACATTAGGGTATGTTCAATCCCAAATCATAAACTGTTCAACAGAGCACACTGTGTTAATGTGTAATTGGCTTTATTTCATTACTTTCATTTCTATTCGCAAGTTCCAAAAATGAAGATTTTACCTCGCTATCATTTCAATATGGCCGAATCGTGAATTTATTTGGATATTTTCTGTGGATAAATTTACAATTACACGTTTTAGGCAACCTGTGCATCACATTTTGCAGTGCTAAAGTATATAGTCCTTTTCCTGTGTTTCCACAATGCTGATACAATAAGGTAAAAGTGTTAAATCAGAAAACTTACACAACCAACTATTCTGTGCCCGATAAGTACTTCAAATGAGTGAAAATAAGTGGGCTATTTCGTATGCAAAATAAACAGGCAGCACTTTTTAAAGTCCTATTCTAGTGTTGTTTTGGTAATTTCATTCCAAAGTTGGACACAGCAGCCATGACACAAAGTGACGAGGCGGATCTAACCAGCCAGAAGGCCGGTAAAGGGGTGATCCGAGACAACATGTCCACCGGTCGTGAGATGCTCTGCCTGACCGTGGCGGTACTGATCGTTGCGGTCCTGGCTATCCTGGCCGTCATACTGGCTGCCATATCGCTGGGCCGGCCCAACACACCTGTGAACACCACCGTGCAGATACCAAACGGCGGCGGGGCAGTATCAGGTAAAGAAACACGCATGAGGGTCCAGGCAAGTACATAGGCCCACAATTTCCTACGCCGGCCAAATCACGATTTGCATGCCCTCGAATTCTTCGGTATTAGCTCGTTTTGTGGGCCATAAACTTATATCTGTAAAAAAAAAAGAAGGGTGGAGGCCGCGCACAGGACTGTCCGCTTGTATTTCTGCGAAATTTGGATGAAATTGGGCCATAAAAAGGCTCTGTTTTGCAATGGAGCGTAGGCATCGTTTTTTTAAATGGCGATGGGTTTCACGACTATTTTTAGGAAATTTCTCTCCAAAAGTCATTGGATTAACCCTCAAAAATTGAACAGAAAATGAAAGGTGATGAAATAAGCTTTAATTTGATGCACGTCTTGAACACCTTGGAGAGTTGTGAGTATTTGTTATTAATTTTGGGAAGTGCGCGTAATTACCACTGAGGTCTATGCCAGTATATTTACTGATCTGGAACCCAGAGTGCATGGGTGCTGTAAATAATTGAGCCCCAACTATTCCATCGTCCCAACTACAGTTTGGACTGTCCCAACTACAGCCGGGACAGTTGGGGCTATCGCTGTAGTTGGGGCGTAACAGGGTTGAAGTCCAAAAGTGCAGTGCAGCCAAGCGTACATTTTGTCCCCGGCTTCTACAATGCAACGCTGCACCATTGATAATATTTCCACACTCGTGTAATATTTATCCCTATTGTATGGTGGCCCTGAAGGGACATCGCATATCGCAAACGTGTGCGCACACGTGTGCGATGTCGCAAAATTTATCGCGAATGTGTGCGCACACGTATGCAATGTCGTGAAACAATTCGCGAATATGTGCGCACACGAATGCGATGTCGCGAAATTTTTCGCGAATATGTGCGCACACGTATGCGATGTCGTGAAATTTATCGCGAATATGTGCGCACACGTATGCGATGTCGTGAAATTTATCGCAAATATGTGCGCACACGTATGCGATGTCGTGAAATTTATCGCGAATATGTGCGCACACGTATGCAATGTCGTGAAACAATTCGCGAATATGTGCGCACACGTATGCGATGTCGCGAAATTTATCGCGAATATGTGCGCACACGTATGCGATGTTGTGAAATTTATCGTGAATATATGCGCACACGTATGCGATGTCGTGAAACAATTCGCGAATATGTGCGCACACGTATGCGATTTTGTTTGCAATGTCGTGAATTTTATTGCATACCTTTGTTGCATACCTTTGGGGTGATGTCATTTTTGCGGGCAATTTGTTAGTGACCTAGGGAGTACGCAAGTGGCCCTGGTCCCATTTTGTATACCCAAGATACTTCAAGGCAGGAGCTTGGGTACCAGGCAGTTACATTTCAGCGTGGCCAAGGTCATACCAAACTAAACTTAGCCGCGTTATGGGCCCAAAACCTAGCCGCGTTCTTAGCCGCGTTCTTAGCCGCGTTCTCAACCGCGGTATCAAAATCTCAAACACATAGAGTAAAAGGTGGTTGCCTCTCTGTTTGTAGTGAAAGGATTTCTTGGACTTTCCCAACGAAATGTTAAAGTTATACAATAAATGTACTATTTTTTATGCTTTCATCTAACCGAACCTTCTATTGGGCACATCATATTTTGGAGGGGGCCAATTCGGTCCACTAATTAGCTGTTAATTAAGGCCCTAATGAGGAGTCTCCATTTTCCACTCTAAAAGTGCACAAAAGGGAATGCTGCTGACCTATAACACCCCTTTAAAACAAAATGTACCCCACATAGTTTTATAAATTTGAATTTTTATTGCATAATCCATTTCATCCATCTACTGGGAAGATCAAATTTTGGAGGGGGCCAATTCGGTCCACTAATTAGCTGTTATTTAAGGCCCTATCGAGGAGTCTCCATTTTCCACTCTAAAAGTGCACAAAACTGAATGCTGATGACCTATAACACCCCTTTAAAACAAAATGTACCCCACATAGTTTTATAAATTTGAATTTTTATTGCATAATCCATTTCATCCATCTACTGGGAAGATCAAATTTTGGAGGGGGCCAATTCGGTCCACTAATTAGCTGTTAATTAAGGCCCTAATCAGGAGTCTCCATTTTCCACTCTAAAAGTGCACAAAAGGGAGTGCTGCTGACCTATAACACCCCTTTAAAACAAAATGTACCCAACATAGTTTTATAAATTTGAATTTTTATTGCATAATCCATTTCATCCATCTACTGGGAAGATCAAGTAATTTTATCTAGGTGGTATTATTAGCAGTTCGTAGCAGTTCATTTATCATTAATAGAACGTGCAGTTCATGTACAAATTGATCGCAACACCTGCAAATCACGGCAATTTAAATTTGCGTGCGCATATTTATTGGCTGAAATATGACACCACGTGAGTTTCAAACTTGCGCGCGCAAATTTCAAAGTTGCGCAAGTAGCAAGTTTGCGCTCGACAGGTTTATTAGTCAGACCCTATTTATATCTAACAGTACGTCTAGATTCCAGACTAGCTGCTACAACTCCCCAGTTCATTAGGAATTTTACTGAAAGGTATGCGACAAGGTATGCAATAAAATTCACGACATTGCAAACAAATTCGCATACGTGTGCGCACATATTCGCGATAAATTTCACGACATCGCATACGTGTGCGCATATATTCGCGATAAATTTCGCGACATCGCATACGTGTACGCACATATTCGCGATAAATTTCGCGACATCGCATACGTGTGCGCACATATTCGCGATAAATTTTGCGACATCGCATACGTGTGCGCACATATTCGCGATAAATTTTGCAACATCGCATACGTGTGCGCACATATTCGCGAATTGTTTTACGACATTGCATACGTGTGCGCACATATTCGCGATAAATTTCGCGACATCGCATACGTGTGCGCACATATTCGCGAATTGTTTCACGACATTGCATACGTGTGCGCACACATTCGCGATAAATTTCGCGACATCGCATACGTATGCGCACACGTTTGCGATATGCGATGTCCCTTCAGGGCCACCATACTATTGCCATATCAACCAAAGGCTTAAGGCTTTCACAATCTATAGACCGTTACAAACCTGTTTACGAAATTGTATGCAAGCTGCGCGCTCACTTGAAGCCAACTTTCACGAGAGAGAGAAAAAAGGATTGCTCATTGTACTGTATATAACACTGCGTGTTTTTTTTTCACGGAATGCCTGTGGGTTAAAACGTTGATACATGTACTATACAATGTACAATTTGTTCGGGAGAAAAAAAAATATTATGATAATATAGGTTTTCCGGCTATTTTAACACTTGTATCACACGAATTCCCTATATCGATACTTTCGATATAATTTCGTCCCCGAACATCGCCAAGCTCACTTCTCAATTTGAATTTCAAAAAGCCACCACTAGATTTCATTTAAGGTTCAGTATATTTCAAACTGTTAGCATTCCGATTCGTCCAAAATCTTTCAAATTCGTCTCGTGAAGCCATCTGCGTTGAATTGAAAAAGCAAATGAAATCTAGTGGTAGCTTTCTGAAATTCAAATTGAGAAGTGAGCTTGGTGATGATTGGGGACGAAATTAAAGTATCGATATAGGGAATTCGTGTGATACAAGTGTTAAAATAGCCGGAAAAACCTATAACATTGTTTTAATACGAAGCAAAGAAGCACACATTTCAACCAAATGATAATAGTTTTCTCAAGCTACAGACCATGTCAAACTTGTCTAAGAAATTGCATGCATGCATCGTTCTCGTACTATGGCCAACTATTAACCAGAGAAAGAAAGTATTGTATTAAACGCTGCACGTTTCATCACCAGAATGTAACTGGGTTAATAAAGTTGTCCCTGCATAATTTTATAGGGAGAAACATGAAAGAGCGTGGGTGGCTGTTTGGCCTGTTGGCAACCAACAGGCATGGCGTCAAAGGTGTAAAGTGCCGTCTGTACACACCGATGCTTTACACAGTGTGAAACTCATAAAGCAGAGTGTACACGACCTCTACCCGACCTCTACCCTACACTGTCGTTCATTCCTTTTGTTCAGGTGCCTACCTAGGTGTAGCTCCCGTTCCAGAAGACCAAGACCCCAACAAAATCTGGGTGTTTGCCATCGGCCATGACGGCACCAACTTGGAATACATGTGAGTGTGACCATATCGTTGCGCGTTGAGACTCCCAGCCTAGGGGTGCATGGCAGTAAATCGGTCCGAAATTGCCTACGCCGGCCAGATTACGATCTGCATGCCCTCAACTTGTATCTTCACTATTTGAGCATATTGTTGGCTATGAACCTGAGGGTTTGTAAAACAAAAAAATTAAAGTGGAAGCCGTGCACAGGACTGTGAGTTTGTAGTTCTGTGCAATTTGGATGAAATTGGGGCCCTCAAAGCGCTCTATTTTGCCATGAAGTGTAGGTATCGTTTTTCAAAATGGCGATTGGCTTCAGGACTATTTTAAGGAGTGATCATCTTCGGATTGAACTTTCTCCTTAAAGTCATCAGTTAACCCCCGAAAATTGAAGAGAGAATGAAAGATGATGAAATAAGTTTTAATTTAATGTGTGTTTCGAATACCTTGGAGAGTTGTGAGTATTTTTCCTGAATTTCTGAAGTGGGGGGGGGGGGGGGGGGCATTTATCATTGAGGTCTCTGGCAATTTATTTACTGGTCTGCAACCCTATGTTCCCGTTGGTTATACATTGTCCATATCATGACCCAATTAATTGTACAAGGTGTTTATTCAAAATGCGCATGAACAAAGAACCGGTCGTGCAACATAATTATACTGAAAAAAAGAGCGTCTCTATCCGCTCCGTTCACAAGTACCCCCTCACCGGCAAAGAAAGTACAATTGGGGGTGACCGACCGATGCCATCTTGCCTGACTGCAATTTTGCACTAGCACTGCGTACATACTGCAGTGGTATACAACTGAATCCCCTGGTGTATGTGCGTCACACACAAGGAACGGTGCGCGTCAACCAGCGAAGTGTCCCGCCCATGGGACGTCGTTGCTAGGTAAAAGGGCACCCTCTTTCGTTGGCGCACGGAGCCCATATCCATTGTTTAAAGTGATTTCTAGTCCGAGAGTACAGTGATATTTAACCTTTTCCCCTTTTTAAAAGTTGACCTTGGACGTCAGCAAGATTTTTTTTTAAATCCATGGATAACTTTATTTTGATAATTTTGTTTGCGAAGAGTGAGGAGGTGTTATTTCACTCGAGCATGTCTCCCGTTGACTTTTTCTTCATTCTTTCCTATAGTGATGACCTCACGGGAACAGTACGGGGGTTCCACGTTGACATTATTGAGGCTGGTGAGTAAAGAAATACGAACATCCAAATTTCACCTCTTTCGCAGGCATTTCAATTTTACGTTTAAAGGGCATTATATGCAATATATATTTTTTAATGCAATCCCTGATGATGGACCTTTGTGTCCCATTTTAGCTTTATTTTAAATTTTCATTTTGCGATTTTCAAGGGTATTTTGGTGCCTTTTTATACTAATGCAAATGTCTATATAGGACTCGATATTCATTAGTAAAATTGTGATGTCATTTTAGGCAGAAACCTCAATGTTATAGTTGCCAGAATTGTGAATATTTCTTGTAAGGTTTCTGTGTTTGGTAATTCCTTATTGGGTCAGTACATGACAGTAAGTTAAAGAGCAAACATTTCTCAAAAATGTTTTCAAAGAGAAAATGTGTTCACAAGTTAAAAAGAAAACCCCATTCTCGAGAGTGTGTTCTTGAAATGACATCAAAGCCAAAATGCCCTCAAATGTTAGTAAATGCCTACAATCTTTTATAAAATGTTTAAAGATTTGCACTTTAAAAAAAAATAGAGTCACCTTAAAGGGATGCCAAATAGTTTTCCTACAATTAAGAGGAATAGAAAGTTGTACAAAATATGTTCCCAAGTAAAATTTATGTCATGATCCCTATAATTTTATTTTTTTGAGTGAAAGAAATCACATTTTCAACCAAGGATTAAAACTCGGTGAAATATGATATAGGAGTCAGTGGTAGTTTAGAAATCACACCTTCGTCTCTGTCTTTGCGTATATTAAAGGGAAGATACAACATTAGCAAACATCAAAAAACGAAATGATCAAATTATCACGAAATATCTTACTTGATTGTTAGGAAATGCAGTCTAAAGCATCCCGTAAAGTTGTGGCTCCTGGTGCGATGACATTTTCAAGAAAAACTGTATTTTTCCAACGCTGGTCGGCCGACCAGCATTGGAGAAAACTGGCTTTTTTTCAAAAAGTGCTCCTAGTTTTTCATATTTAGTTCGTCTGCATTTTCTTGTAATTGATTACACACCTGTGAAGACTACAAGCCTGCTAGACTGATTCTCTGATTGTACAATTCCTCAAAGTCTATAAATTGCTCCGTTTCATCTTAAGTGGGGTCTGGGAACCAGACTACAAGAATATGATTGGTTTCTTGTTTTTTCCCCAGCATTTACGAACCCAAAACGTGAAACAAGTCAGTGTAACAATATTTGCTATAACATACTAATCCTCCAAATCCATTAATTTCTGAAAATTGCAGCAAAAGCAAATTCCCTTTAAACATCTCTGGATTCGTTTCTATTTTCAAATTTAATTTGCATGAGAAAATCGGTTTAATTCGCTTGAGGAGATACTTGTGTTTACGGAGGATTGGAAGGAAGACACGGGGAAAGATAAGGGCAACTCGATTGAAAATGGACCTGATTTACGAGGAAGCTATTTTTGTCGTGTTTCCTGTATGCATTTTGAAAATTGTGAACTGTTGAATGGGATGTGCCAGACTATTTAAACATTTTAGCCTCACTTTCATTTCTTTTGAAAATGTGGCTTAAAACATTGGGGTACGTTTAATCACAAATGTTAAAACTATTCATCAGAGCAGACTGTTTGTAACATACTTTATGTCATTGCTTTCATTTCTCGTCGCAAGTTCCCCCAAAATGAAGATGTTCAATTCAGAATGGCCGACTTGTGAATAAGACCCATGGGGAGCGTATGTTGGAAAGAGTTTAAAAAAAAACAGGAGGGTGGAAAGGAATGGGGATTCTTTGGGAGAAAAAGATACAGATTTAGATTTTTTTTCTCAATCGATTTTGCAGTGTGCAACTTCGGGAACAAGAACTGCAGGCTGATGTGGGACGTGTACGAGAACTGTTACACCCAAATGCCCAACCAGCGACCACGCGTAGGGGTGGGGCTTGTCAGCCGTTGGTACGACGCCTGCACCGGTAAGGCATAATGGTTATCCTTTGCAACGTATACACCTTTAAAACTATTTTGACGATTAGATCATGCGGTGTAGGAAAGAATCCTACATGACAATCCTGGCACAGAGTCATGGCAATCACGGTGGTTCCAACTTCAGTTGTAGTACAGCAGATTGGCGATAAGATTGTTCGTTTGATGATAAAGGCATGAAATTTGGTACACAGTCAGAGTATGTCATGGGAAAGATATTTGGCTATAGGGCCATCGCAGATTTGTCCTTTGAAAAACATATCATAGGACAACAAGACATTTTCAAAATTGTCAAAATGGCGGCCATTGCATGTTATTCAGTGATATCTTTTAAAGGACAAATCTGCGATGGCCCTATAGCCAAATATCTTTTCCATGACATACTCTGACTAGGTGCCAAATTTCATGCTTTCATCATCAAATGAACATATTCCATCATATTGTGCACCAATCTGACTGACTATTGGAAACATTGTGCAATCTATTGAACAAAAGAACCACTCCCCAACGCTTGACATAATACTTCTGCCTGTACTGGCACCACAATGAGTGTAGAGCGACTCTCTGCAAGAACCGGTCTAAAGCAATGCTAGGACTTTAAAAATGTATTGCGAGTTTGCAATTGAATTTCAAGGTTGGCCACGGGCAACACGACTTCCTGAAACTTATCTTGTTAAAAACCGTCACAGTGATGCCAAGATGGAAATCAAGCCTGAAACGATACTCTAAATGATGTATTCGGTTTTTAATTGCAATTTTTCGTTACTTATATCAAAATCAAAGTAATCGTTTTTGGATACCCCCTCCTCCCACAGGTTGGTTTGCTACCTACGAGCGGATAGCCTCCGTATCCTTTTCCAAGCCGTTCCGCCAGCCTCTGTCCGCAGTGTTCTTTGTGAAGCGAGGCAACCCGCAAGCCTTCAGCAGCACTGATCTCACCGGCAAGAAAATCGCCTTCATTGACGGCCACGCCTCCAACATCTTCTGCGTGCGGAGGGCCGGCATCACGGTAGGGATATGACCCAACTCAACACGACGAGTCAAAAGTTGCGAGAGCAAAATTTTGAGTAAAAAAGCGTCTTCGCAAATCTGCAGAATGGCAATCAACAAGGACAGTCAATATTTTCCCTAACATTATCATACTACATCAAAGACATTATCAAAACAAAGCGTGGAGTGATATTGATCTTCGGCGTAATAACAACTATTCAGTGCATGAAAAAAGTATCCTTATTGGAGACTTACAATGGGATCCGGTGTCAATTATTGTCTGATGTCATGATAAATCCTTCTTCCTTCTCAATTTTTGATAACATTCTTTTGAATGTTTGAACTCTCTCCTAAGCGGGTTTTTTCCCCAAAATTTCGATTCAATTCTCGCAACCACTAAATTAATTCCAATGAAAGTTTCAAAGAAAAGCAAAATTCTAATGGCTAATATTGTTTGGGGAAAATAAATCACAGAGAAATATAGAAAGAAAAAAAAAAAGACCTTTTTGGATATAGAGGTGTCCCATTCCAGCTTGTATTATAATCTGGTAGTCCATATTGTCTCTCTTCTCAATGTTATCTCATTGTATAGTGTTATTTTTTTCATAAACAGGGAGTTGATAGAACAGCTATGATCGTTCACTATTCAACCAGGGAGGAAATAATAGCAGGCGTTAATGGCGGAGAGGTTAGTTGATGCCCCTCGAAACAAAATACATGTTACTTAAACGTAAAGAGGCAGCGGATATTGTTCACGTGAACTATCTGGGAGCATTAGTCTGAGGAACAGGAAATAACGTGTGCAGAGCAACGATTGAACGTCTGATATTTCCTAAGATGCAAATTTTATGTGACCCCGCGCGCCAGCCAATCGGAGTCGATCAGAAATGTGGACTAAGCTGTCGACTGGTCACTTAAATGCCATGTGTTTGTATAATACAACAACGTATTACCGAAGGCCCGATATAGAAGGCACCCGCTGAATGGTCGGAAACTCGAGGACACAGTCTTGTTTTGCATAATTAATCGCTGAATCTGCTCTCGTGTCATACACTGTCAAAAGTGACTCCACGTCATGCACGTGAATCAAAAAAGTTGATGCACATGAAGTGTCAATGTTGGGTAAAACACACACCTGCGGTTAAGCCGACTGTCACCCCATGTGCTTCAAGTACACCAAGTGATAACTGGCAACTTTGTAATACCTCATGCACTTGAGCTTCACTTTTGTGCTGCTGCATGATAACCTCAAGTGCGTCAGTTTCCTGTCAAGAGCCTCAGGTGTTCATGATTCTGGGAGAAAAATGTGCTAGTGCACAGGTACATGAGGTGAAGTCAGTTTTTACAGTGTAGACCCTCGATGTACAAGGGGATATTCCATACACTATCTGAGCATTGGCAGAGTGAGAAATGTAAAACAGGGCCAATTAACGAATTTCAAATTGCCACTGAAACCGAGGGCCTCAGTGCTGGCTTTTATTGAGAGGTTAAAAAAGGTTCTCAATTCATACAATGGCTTAGCTCTGATAGCCTCGGTTTCAGTGCTAATTTGAAAATTGTCTATAGGATATAGTTGATGATGTATTAACAGTTCACTACAACGTTTCGTCTAAGGCAGTTCTAAAAGGACGGGACTAAATTACATGATCTTTAAATGATGTTAATACCATCTTGAAATATTTGTAAATTTTACATTTGTAAATGTACATCTTGGCTGATCATGACGTCACATTTGGGATGATTTTAGCATAAATTGCCTTTGGTTTCCTTGAAAACTTCATTTAAAATTCATCAACATCGCACCAGTCATGGCAGGGCTATGAGTCCGTATGCACGAGTTCGCCATTTTTGTCGTGTAACCTGGAGGTATTTAATAATTTGTGAACTGCTGAAGGGATGGTGCCAGACTATTTATTCCATTTATAGCTTCACTTTTTTTTTAAATGTGGCTTAAAACATTAGAGTTTGGTTATTCACCAATTTTAAATGAGTCCTCATAGCACATGGTATTAACTTGTAACGTCATAGCTTTCATTTCTCTACATGAGTTCTATAACTGAAGATTTTACCTCACTCTCAATCCAATATGGCCGACTCGTGAAGAAGGCCCATGTGGGACGGCATTAAAACCGATCAGATTTCAACGAGTATAGGTATCCGAATGCTGCCTATCCGAAGCGAGAGAGGGCTTGTTTAACCTATTTCATTATTTACTGTCCAGGTCGATGCTGTGTTTGCCAACGACCAGATCTTCAATCTGCGGACTGACCTGGACGTAGCCGCTGGGAATCCCATCACGACCTGCATGCAAGCCGGGGCAGGCATGATGGTCCGTAAGGACAGCCGCCTTCCCAATTGGTGGGACCCGGCCTTCGACCAGCTGAAGCAGACGTCACAGTACAGGCAAATCTGTGATGAGATCACAACTAATCACGGTAAGTTCATTCAATCATCACGGGAGTGACGATTGATCACGGTTTAACAATTTTTGATTGTTTAACGGTATAAAGCATTTATCTCACACAGTTGATGTCGAAGAGTGACATTTCAACCCGTTTGCCCTAACTCAGGGGCACTGCGTCCTGAAATCCCCGAAAATACATGTTTTGGATTGCTTACTTATCCTATTTCAAACGTCTAGTTGAAAGGACACCAAAATAATGTCTTACCGTGTCCGAGAAAAGACGAAAAACCCCGAGTGTTTACATCAGGCACGACAGAGTATGATACGTGTTTCCTGTCGTTTTCAAACCATGTACGATACACGTTGTGTGTGTCTGGTATTACACACGTACGTACACCCAACCGTGCTCACGAACAGCGGTGGTCAATCACCAATGCACAAAATAAGTTTTGAAAACGTCCGCAAAAGGCGAACCCTTACGGCTGAAATCACAACTATAGCACGAATAGCCCGACTTTTTAGGGTCGCAAAAGTGGACTCCGAAAGTCGTTCTCGCACGAATTATAACATTACACAAGAATATTACAGAAGCGCCCAGATTTGTTAAGGGATGGCTGTGTGGATGTTTATAATCTACCTTTTAAATGTTCTTTCCAATTAACATCATTTCGTTAAAAATGCGTTTTGTAAATTGGGCGTATTCCAGGACGCAGTGTCCCTTTAACATCTGTGGTTCTTCTCGTTTTGAGTTGTTATTCACATGGTGCATTCGCCAATGCAAAACCTCAAATCGCATTCCAACGTATATCATTACAGTTAGCGTAATGCTCGTGGACGATCGGTTTTTTTTCGTCAGTGGATATTTGTTCATGATTTTATTTTACTCCCCACATCTAGATCAATCGGATCACGAAGTGGAGTGCGTGAATTGATTCCTTCACCGTTACCAAGGATGAGGTAGAAGCCGATTCTCACTCCATCTCATCTCACTTGACGTTTGTAAGGAATTCAGTAAAAACACACAGTTACCCGGAATGTCTGTAGAGATCAAGCACAACTTGACAAACTGAAGCATCGTAAAGCTTTTGGCCCTAACCGGAACTGCACATGTGACTTTTCAATTTATCATGATCACCCATATGTTTAATATACCATATTTCCTGGTGATAAGGCCATTATGACTGCGAGTTAACAGAATTATATACAAGCCACAATTGCATTCTTATTAAATTTAAAAAGGGGCTTAAATTGGTCAATTTATATACATTGACTTTAAATGTAATGTTAAACGTTAAATCTTTTGAATATACATTGGTGATTGTTTCAATGTTTTCTAGCATGGTGTAGGAAAGTGCGAATAGGTTGTTCGTAGCGAAAAAGCAATTAACGCTTTGGAACGTTTTTTTCTTTACCTTTTTGAGTGTCAGCTATGTATATGTTTTCTACGCTCGATCTGTTCAATTCAATATATATAGGTTCAATTCAATATAGGTTTCCCGGCTACTTTAAAACATATTTCGTTCGAATTCAGCGATTCTTTTATTGAAATTCGTCCGGCAACATCGATTTAGTGCACTTCCCATGTTTAATTTCGTCTTTTGTCAGACAATTTCAAATTTAGTCCAAACAAATTTAAACAATCAGCACACGGTTTCGACTAGGAGAATTCGATTTCGTCTCGTCTACGCCGAATCGATGCTATTGAGAAACTATATTCGTCTAATGCTACACAATTTATACATAATTTTTTTCAATTTTGTCAAAATCAATAGCAATATCTTTTGATTGATAACAGACGAATTTGATCTCTGAATGCTGCCATTCCAAAACAGCTTTAGGCGAATTTGATCTGTAATGACAAATATCCTCGACACGATGACTAAAGAGGTTGACCAAACTTTGAAACTGAATGGTAAATGACTAAATTGGTTTTGGTAAAAGCGTGTGATTTTTTTCTTGGACGAAATTGAATGTCACAGTTGGTGAATTTGAATGAAAAATGTTTTAAAATAGCCGGGAAAACCTATATTAAGGCAAAATGTACATAATACCTCAATTGAAATTATCCGTGTTAAATTCTTTCCACTCAAGGCCCAAATATACTGAATAGTATCTGTCTTTGTTCATTGAAGATGAAACAACTGATTCGGATTTCAATTATTTTTGAAATAGATTGTCGATTTGACTATTACCCATCGTTATCCCATCTTAAATCGCATTTGATTCACTTGCTAATTAGAATGTTAAGTCGACATAGTTTTCTACTCTCTTTGTTTTGCAAGAAATAGAGATAGGTATTTAGCATTCTGATTCTGATATCCTTTGGTATTTGTTTGGAGCAATTTTTCTATGATATATTATTGAAAATTAAAGGCGCATTGTATGTTTACTATCTTAAAAGAGTTTCAACTACTTATTGTTCCTAACTTGTCATATTAAACAAGAGTTCGTGAGGAAAGGCGATCAACTTTTGAAATTGTCAATTTGTAGTTATCCTTTAAGAGTATTTGTGAATAGCAAAACTACCTACCCAACCAAAGGCAGATAAACCAAATTTTTGGGAGTGAGCAACAGGCCTAAAATGATGTTAAAATGAAAGCTTGCAAGGGAGATGTTTTAATTCATAATTATGCAGTGGTCAGGTATCAGGGCAAGGAAAATGACACACTTTAAGACCTTTAGATCTTCAGTCTGACGCTCTCCCAACTGAGCTATTCCGGCTGATAAAATATACATTCGCCATCGATCATAAGGACGATATCAAAATGTTTCACATCGTTAAGGTTTTGCAACAACAAAAAAAAGACAAGAAGAACCAAGTTGGATTTGCCGGAACCCGGGATTGAACCAGGGACCTTCAGATCTTCAGTCTGACGCTCTCCCAACTGAGCTATTCCGGCTGATGAAATATACACTCGCCAGTTGATCATAAGGACAAAACCAGGATGTTTTACATCGTCGAGTTTTGGCCAAACAAAATAAAACCACGAGGAACCAAGTTGGAATTGCCGGAACCCGGGATTGAACCAGGGACCTTCAGATCTTCAGTCTGACGCTCTCCCAACTGAGCTATTCCGGCTGATGAAATATACACTCGCCAGTTGATCATAAGGACAAAACCAGGATGTTTTACATCGTCAAGTTTTGGCCGAACAAAATAAAACCACGAGGAACCAAGTTGGAATTGCAGGAACCCGGGATTAAACCAGGGACCTTCAGACCTTCAGTCTGACGCTCTCCCAACTGAGCTATTCCGGCTGATGAAATATACACTCGCCAGTTGATCATAAGGACAAAACCAGGATGTTTTACATCGTCAAGTTTTGGCCAAACAAAATAAAACCATGAGGAACCAAGTTGGAATTGCCGGAACCCAGGATTAAACCAGGGACCTTCAGATCTTCAGTCTGACGCTCTTCCAACTGAGCTATTCCGGCTGATGAAATATACACTCGCCAGTTGATCATAAGGACAAAACCAGGATGTTTTACATCGTCAAGTTTTGGCCAAACAAAATAAAACCACGAGGAACCAAGTTGGAATTTCCGGAACCCGGGATTAAACCAGGGACCTTCAGATCTTCAGTCTGACGCTCTCCCAACTGAGCTATTCCGGCTGATGAAATATACACTCGCCAGTTGATCATAAGGACAAAACCAGGATGTTTTACATCGTCAAGTTTTGGCCAAACAAAATAAAACCACGAGGAACCAAGTTGGAATTGCCGGAACCCGGGATTGAACCAGGGACCTTCAGATCTTCAGTCTGACGCTCTCCCAACTGAGCTATTCCGGCTGATGAAATATACACTCGCCAGTCGATCATAAGGACAAAACCAGGATGTTTTACATCGTCAAGTTTTGGCCAAACAAAATAAAACCACGAAGAACCAAGTTGGCATTGCCGGAACCCGGGATTGAACCAGGGACCTTCAGATCTTCAGTCTGACGCTCTCCCAACTGAGCTATTCCGGCTGATGAAATGTCCACTCGCCAGTCGATCATAAGGACAAAACCAGGATGTTTTACATCGTCAAGTTTTGGCCAAACAAAATAAAACCACGAGGAACCAAGTTGGAATTGCCGGAACCCGGGATTGAACCAGGGACCTTCAGATCTTCAGTCTGACGCTCTCCCAACTGAGCTATTCCGGCTGATGAAATATACACTCGCCAGTCGATCATAAGGACGATACCAAGATGTTTGACATCGTCAAGGTTTGGCCAAAAAAAAAAAAACGCAGAACCGAGTTGGAATAGCCAGAACCCGGGATTGAACCAAGGACCTTCAGATCTTCAGTCTGACGCTCTCCCAACTGAGCTATTCCGACTGATGAAATATACACTCGCCAGTCGATCATAAGGACGATACCAGGATGTTGTACGTCGTTAAGGTTTGGCCAAAACAAAAACGATGTACTTTAATAACTAAACGTTGTAACTGTTTTCGTTCGATGTCTCACTCAAAATTGAATCACTGTCATATTCCAAGGAAAATAGCAATTGAAAAACAAATCTATTTGCTGAGGTCAAACTTGAAAATAACACAGAAAACGGATCTTGAATAGCATATCGCGGACCTCCGCGTGAGGCCTCATCATGACATCAACTTTCCTCGGAGACAATCTGGATACTCGATAAGTCATTCTTTAATTTTGAAAACATAAATGTGCAAACATTCTTCAGTGATTTCATTTTGACATTGGGAACCTAGTTAATACAGGAAACTTTTCTTTTTTTTAGCTAGCACTATCAATCGGACTCCGTGCCAGACTGTAGTCCAGCAGCGTATCCAGCTTTTGATGTCAGGGGGGCAACCGCACATCCACGCCGAAATCTAGATATGTCTTTTTTTCCGGACACTTGCCCTCCGTAAATTAAAAAGGGAGGGGGGGGGGGGCTGGTACGCATCTTCCAAATGGGGGCGCTCTTCAAAACTGACCATTATTATGCATACTACATATTATATGGACATTTTTCACAGCGCATTGTAATGGTTGTTGATCGGGTTTTCTTTGGTGGGATGGATGTCAGAAGAACTCTATAAACATTTATTAAAATCATTGCTGACAAAGAAATTGTCAAAAAATCCGCCGGGGGGGGGGGGGGCAAAGAGCCCCTGTCCCCCCCTATCAGCTCTCATTTGTATTGAGAGCATTTTGGGATGGTTATAAACCTATCGGTCAGTCAGCTTAGCGCCGTCAAAGGAGAGGCTCTAGCTGAACCCCTGCGATTGTGCTACCAGCTAGCTCTCACTTGTTTAGCGGGCATTGATTAATTTTCATGACGATTCACCACGGAAGTTTGGAACAGTTTAAAACTTCCGTAGCCCCTCCACAAATACCCAAGGAAGATGACGGATAACCACGGAGGTACTAAGGATGAATACGGCACTCCCACGGTTTATCGCGAATTAATAAATACCTTGGAGAGTTGATGGTCTCTGATTGGTCGAAACTCGATCACATCAACGGTGATAATGGACCGGCTTCAAAGAACAAGCGAAAAAAATGGCCCCTGAACCAGCATTGATCCTGCCCCATGGAAGGCAATGATTGGCCAAATTTACAACAGTCATACGGTAGCTTGTAACAATACAGCACTGCACATGCGCTCAACCACCTTCGCGTGACACTGACGCGCGCGTACGCAACACAGTTGCTATTGGTGTGCGCACGCGTAAGGAAGTTTTAAAACGACTGGACATCGTACATGTACGAATTGAATTGCAGCTATACGCGACGTCGCGCACTGATCCGACGAATTATAACAACCGCGCGCGCGTGTGCGTCGTTCCAATACTTGTGCACGCTGCGCTGAATAACAAAACGAACTACTAATTTAAATATTCCTACGGTGCTTCTTAAGAATCACCGTTGGAAATGCCTTCTTTCGTTGATTACTAAGGGAATAACAGTGTGAGGAGCCGGTCTTCACTGCGTGATAATGACCGGGTTTGGGGGTGACCGCTGTTAATGGACCGAGACGCAGTCGAGGTCCATTAACAGCGGTCACCCCCACACCCCTTCATTATCATGCAGTAAAGACCGGATCCTCACACTGTTATTCCCATTAATAAATACCTTTATAACGAAATAAACAGTTAAAATGCTCCAATTTTGTGACTTTCTTTCGGCGATATTTCCAGACTTTTTTGTGTTCATGTTCATGGGACATATTTTAGCTTATCAGCTATAACGACGTAAACTCAACAGAAACTGCTGCCGTAGCGAAACAAATTACAACAATGCTTTCATATTTCGAAGTGGCTATCGTTACGGCACTCGTTGTTTAGCGCCCTCTACGATATTTTTTTGATACGCACGCGGGTATATAATTATTTGTTTCTCCACGTTTTATCGAGCAGTGCGCCAGCTCAGCCGATAGAGGGTAGGATTTTGCACCTCGAGGTTGCGGGTTCGAATCTCAGTTTTGCACTCGAATTTTTTTCCTTTTCTAACCTGAGGCTTTGGAGGATTTTTTTTAAAAGGGAAATAAAGTCCGAATTTCATAAAGTTCAAATTCACTTTTTTCCTTCTAATTTTATATTTTCTTGTCTTTTTTTTTTTATAAAAGTTGCCAGGTTGCAGTCTACCGTAACGATAGAAAATGGGAAATGCGTTACGGCTGCCGTAACAATAGCCACTGCGTTCATATTTTTACCTGATGGAGGAAGCTGAAATCTCGTTTACACATTGCTGTGTCCGGAATTACAAAGATGCTTGGTTTAGGAAAGGTAAATATGTCGGTGGGTGAAGTGTTCAAAGAAAATTAATCGTAGATCTACGCTTTCGTCGTAAAATTCCTCAGTATATTCTGCACTGCTGTACGATGTCGTTTCAAAACTTCCTTACGCGCGCGCACGCACGCATCCCTAGCAACTGTGTTGCGTACGCGCGCGTCAGTCTCACGCGATGGGGGTTGAGCGCATGTGCAGTGCTCAATTGTTAAAAGCTACCGCAGGACTGTTACTATATTTTGGCCAATCATTGGCTTGCATGGGCTGAACGGGGCTGGATCAATGCTGATTCAGGGGCCATTTATTCGCATGATCTTTGAAGCCGGTCCATTATCACCGTTAATGACCGGCCACGTGATCGAGTCTCGACCAATCAGAAACCATCAACTCTCCAAGGTATTTATTAATTCAAAATGACAGCTTGCCAGAAAGAATAATTTCACAGGGAGTTTAGTCCCCTTACTATCTTTCAACCAAGTTTGTTTTTCAACAATAATTACGCCAGTTACTTTTCGGATGGCTGCAAATGATGGACTATAGCTTTAAACACTTCGCCCAACGACATATTTACCTTTCCTTTATCTTTGTAATTCTGGACACGAGGAGTGTGTGAACGAAATTTCAGCTTCCTCCATCAGGTAAAAATATGAAAACATTGTTGTAAATATTTTGTTTCGCTACGGCAGCAGAAGTCCAAACCGGACGTCGTACGCGTACGCAATGAAGACGTTGTC